ATTGAACCTTATGGGGAAATTTCCTTTGGGTTACGACCAACTCGGGATACGACCAGAGTCACAGAACGGATTAAGTTCGTAACCCGAGGTACCACTGTATAGGGTCTTAAATTCAACAAAACATTAAAATAATATATTTACATATCAACAGAAACAGAAAAGAACAAGGGAAGCAGTATTCATTACTAGTTTGTCCCCTGTAACCTAGAAAACCAAACAAATGGACACTCAGTTATTTTAGTTTAAAAAGAAGTTAACCCAATTGTAATTGTTCTAGAGTTATCTTTCCTGCAATAAAATCTGAAGACTTTACTGAAAGAGAAATGAAATTAAATGAAACTCAAAACCTTAAGTTTTGCTATTACCATCAGAAATACCCTTTCTGGTTCTACAATGCAGATTTATACATTTTAAAGCTTACTTACATTTGTGTGCCTCTTATGTGCTTTTCCTTTTATGAACAAAGTTTTATATTAATTAGAGAACTGCATTGGAAAAATGAAAAAAAGGGGGGGGGAAGGAATTGTGTGGCAATTTTGCTTGTAAATTTGGGAAATGATGTTAAAATGTGTTCAGATTCATCTCCTGTTTCCAACGCTAGCAGCTGAGCTCTACTGAGTTTTCCAGTGCACAGCTTCCCCCCTCCCCAAAATCGCCCTGCTTCACATTTGCAAAAATATGTTTGTACAAATGACTACAGTGATTTGACTATTTTCATTTTCTTTTCTTCAGCAATTTAAATCAGAATCCAATTACATTTATTTAGTATTTAAACAAATCCCCATGTCAGAAGATAACTATATGCAAAACCACAAATTTCAGGTTAAAAGAATCTTCAGTGCAATACTGATATCATACAGAGAAATCTCAGAAGTAGGCTTATGAACTGATTGATACAGAATTTAATTATACTCCATTCAGAGAGCATGTGGAATTGAGTATTATTTTAATAAAAAATCCACAATCAATTAGTACCTCTTCTAATGCTAGCAACTTATGTGCCCTTAAAGATGTCTAGAGAGAACTCTAGAATTTAGGAAGCAAGCTCAATTTAATGTCAGCTGAGCATGTTGTACTATAGAAGATTTTATAGGAATCTACACAGTAAACCTATTATGTCTGCTTTAACAAACTTTGCAGGCCATTTAGATCCATTCTTTCTCACCCCGTTACTTGTAAACAGGTAGCCTATTACAATTTGTCAAAATTTTGCACAGGGGCATGCATAGTAGGGCAACAACTAATCAGCAGGAGATGCCAGCAAAACTAATACTCCTTCTCTGATTATTGTGTAATCTCCGATTACTGTCCAGACACAGGTGATTTCAAGTACTGGACTTTGGCCATAATAAATAATTTATTCATATGATACCTCTGTAATGCTGATAAAACATTATGTTCAGGCGTATCTGTCAAACATGCTTTATGCTTTATTTGTAACATCAGTTCCTAGCTTTTGAATTCTTATGGCATAGTAAGTTATCAGAGAAGACAACTTGGTCATGGCCGCAGAATTAGAATGGTAAATTGACCATTCATACCAAATTTATTAAATTTAAATTCATTTCCAATTTATGAAACTTAAACAAATTAAACCAATTTCTTTAAACCTAAAACTATTTCAAGAGGATGAAAATTCTAGATTTATGTGTTAGAATTTAAATATTTAAGTATTTACCTAATTTACTACTTTAACAACGGCTGCTCCTGCCTTTTTATGCAACTATAGAAACTGAAGATGTGTCATTTTTGCCATACCACAATCTGATAAGAAATGGTTATTTGCAAACTTCATTAATAAGATTTGGATGACAAAAGCTAACTTTCATTCCCTGAACATTAATATACCTGGTAGCTTAATAGTAAATTGGAG